GGGGTACTTGAAATACCAGGGGGACCACTCTGTAAAGTATATGATTGTCTAACCACTATGTTGCACACCTGAAACTAATATAGGATAATATTGAATGTGAACTATAATTTTCTTTTTTAAAAAAAGATGGAAAATTGTATGTTTTTCATCACAATAAAAAAATTTAAGAATTTCAAAAAAAAAAAAATTTGGAAATGGTTTACTGAGGTGCTACTGGCTCCAGATCTCTCAAAAGTTATGTCAAGATGCTGGGGCCACAGGCATCTGTCACCTTGGTCTGTTTCCAACTCACACGCATGGCCAGCGGGTGGGTGAGGCCTCGGTTGTTTCTCCTGCTTCTCAGTCTATACCCAGTGTGGCCAGCGGTCCACTCCTCCCTCCCGTCTTTCTCTGGTCCTGACCCAGACCCAAGTGGGCTCCTCAGATCAAAGAACCGTCTGCTCAGGCGGAGCTGGGTCTTCAAAAGGGGGTGCAGGGCCCTACCGGCGTGGCTCAGTGATTGAGCATCATCCTATGAACCAGGAGGTCATGGTTGATTCCTACTCAGGGCACATGCCCGGGCTGCAGGCTCCATCCCAGTGGGGGCGTGCAGGAGGCAGCCAATCAATGATTCTCTCTCATCACTGATGCTTCTGTCTCTCTCTCTCCCTCTCCCTTCCTCCCTGAAATCAATAAAAATATATATTTATTTAAAGGAGGGGGGGAGGGTGCAAGAACCATGGTGTCCAGGCCGGGGGAAGTCAGCAGCAGGGTGGGGACTGGCTCTGGAGGGGCAAGTGGAGAGTCCCCCTCCCCTAGCCCACATGGTCAGCACAGGCAGGACACCAAGGCCAGAGCGGGTATTTCTCCAGAAAGGGCCATGGTGAGCAGCGCTGCCAACCAGCACGTCACTGGTCCCTGCTGTGAGGACTCTGGAAAAGCTGACCACATCGGTAATTAGAGGCCGGAGGTGGCCAGACCTCATAGCATCTCTGACTTCACCTTCCTGTCGGGGCATGAGAAGGTCTCCCGGGAGAGGGAGGTGAAGCTAAAGCTAGAGGCCGAGAGAGGTCCATCCAGCGCGCGCTCTCTCCCTCCCTCCCTCCCTCCCTCCCTCCATCCCTCCCTCCCTCCCTCCCTATATTTATATTTTAGAGAGAAAGGGGGAGGGGGAAGAAGAGGGAGAGGGAGAGAGAGAGAGAGAAATATCAATGATCGGTCGGCTGCCTCCTGCACACCCCACACTGGGGATCAAGCCCACAACCCCTGGCATGTGCCCTGACCAGGAATTGAACTGTGGCCTCCTGGTTCACAGGTCAATGCACAACCACCGAGCCGCACCAGCCAGGCTGACTCTCTGCTCTTTAAACCAGTTTCTTTGAAAACGTGGCAGATCGCTTCCTCCCAGCTCTTAAACACCCTCTGAGGGAAACGTGTCTTATGAGAGAGGACCTATTTCACCAGTGTCCTCTGAGGTCGGTGGCTCAGTAGGAACAGGCCAGGCGAGTGGCACGTTAGCTTATCGACGAGGATGCCCACGGGTGTTTCTTCTCTCTGGCAGCCGCAGGCACATACACAGTCCCCTTTGCCTTCAACGCAGGGTAGCATTTTGCTCTGTGTTGGAGCAGCATCCTCCCACAGGGCACTCGCTTGTGGCATAAACCGCAGTGCCAAGAGCAGGTGCCTCTGTCGGTGGGCACCTGGATGTATCTGGGGAAGAGAAACGCCCTCCACGTGGACTGGCCTAGGTGCTCTTTGGGGCGCTGGCTGTTAGGGTTGAGCTGTGGGCAGCAGCAGGTTTCCGATGGGCATCCAGCAGAGAGGATGGCATGTGTCCCCTCTGTAGGGGTGGGGACAAGTCCCAGCACCCTCTCTGATAGGAGGGAGCTGACAGATGGAGGTCATGGGGGCATCCTTGAGGTGGTTACCTCTCTTGTCACTGAAGCCATTGTGGCTGCCCTTTCCCTGCCAGCTCTCATTGTGATGGCCTAGGCCAGTGGTCGGCAAACTCATTAGTCAACAGAGCCAAATATCAACAGTACTTCTTCAAAATAGACTCGCCCAGGCCGAAAACCAACTTCTGCGCATGGGCCACGAAGTTTCAATCACACTGTACGTGCGCGCCCACACGTGGTATTTTGTGGAAGAGCCACACTCAAGGCGCCAAAGAGTCGCATGAGCCGCAGTTTGCCGACCATGGGCCTAGGCTGGCAGCCCAACCTCTTCTCTGCTGCTTATGTTTTCTGGTTTAGGGTGATTTCTGCAGCTTTCGACCACTCCCTGGGCAAAGGTGTGCCCACAGCAGTGGGTTTCCTGGGGGTCCCCGCCTCAGGTAGTGGGAGCTGCCTGAGCTCTGCCCACAGCGGAGCTGCCAGGGTGCCTCCTCTCTGCAGGTGGCCTCTTAGACGTGTCTCCCATGAGCCCCTCCTGGTGTGTGTGTGTGTGGGGGGTCACTGTGGAGACAGGGCCTGTCACTCCAGGTGACTTAATCAGCGTGGACAGCGCCCTGGAAGTCGCCGGTTGGTGTTCTGCCTCCCAACACAAATGCTCTTCAGGTGGTGGTGACCTGACGTGGACTCTCGGAGAAAGGCCTTTTGATCCCGGGCCGGGATGCCTGTCCCCGCGTGCTCCCGGCTGCCTCCCTGTGGAACAGCGGCGCCCCGCCGCCCAGCCAGGCTCTGCTGGGAGGCAGCTGACCTGAAAGTGATGTTATTTTGTTTTCACGTGGGTTTCAGTACCTAGAGCAAGAATATTTTCAGCCGGTTATTGAGGCTGATTAGTGAGTCTTAGGCCTCCATGAGGTTAAATAGAGCCGCCTTCACGGATGTATTTTGGGACAGTGCAAATCCCGGGTTCTGCATGGGCTTGAGTACCCCAAAAGGTGGTCTGAGCCTTGCAAAGCAGTCTGGGTAAATTCCCATGGTGCCAGACCACTAGGTGGGGCATCCAGAGCAGCAGACACGGGGTGCTTCTCTCCTTCACCCTGGAAAAGTGGGGGGTAGTCAGTTGCACTCTAGACTCAGCTCCCAGCCCTGTTGCTTGCCGGCTTCATTGTGTTTGAACTAGTTGTATTTGGCCCCTGAGAGCCTCAGTTTCTTCATCTGTAAATTGGGAATAATAATACCCACTCCTCAGGGTGAGTCTATAATCTACTCCATGGAGGTGTGTGCTCACGAGTATCAGTTAGGGGGATTTTTGGGGAGCATAGAGGGAGAAGGTAACAGGAAAAACTCAAGAAGAAAGAGCTACTTTCTCTCCTTAAATGGTCTCAAGACATCATGAATCAAATCATCAAGACATGACCAGTCCCACCAGGCTCATCCCAATGGTGAGGGGCATTGGCCTTCGCAGAGAGGTGTAGAGGCCAGCGGCCCACGGAGGCCAGGAGGACGGTGCTCTGTGGTGGCTGTGCTGGGACCAGCTGTGTGACCTTAGGCCAGGCCTTGACCTCTCTGAGCCTCGTGTCCAGCTCTGTAGAGCGAGTAGGTTGGATTCCTTCCAGACCCACCATCCATAGTCCTGTGACTCAAATGATCGTAGTGTCCATGTTCCTTCCTTGGAGAAAATCACTGTATCTTGATCCTCCACTAGAAGAGAAACGGTCATGAGCGGAAACTCATTCACTTTGGATGGAAATGTGCCTGGCTGCCTCTGTGGGCGTCCCAAGTGCTGCCTGAGCGTCCCCTTTTCTGGGAGGGTCTTCTGGGAGGGTCTGGGGAGAAACTGTCCCTAGACATGGGGTCCAGAGGTTGCCTGGAACCTGGTGGGAAGGTCTGGGGCATCTAACTCTGCAGAGGGGGAGCGGGGGTGAGTTTCGGTTGTCTGTGCTGATGTCATCATCTCTGTCTCCTCTGAAATAGCTGTGCTTTGGGGCCGAGATTGACAAATCCTGGAGTGGGAGATGTTGAAATGGTTGTAAACAACTTGTAATCAGTTCCGTGTCCACAGGAGACAGGCGAGCTCACCCAGGCTTCTTGTCAGCTCCAGGCCCTTATGCACTTGGCAAGGGCGCCCTGGGCAGTGAAGGAGTCCCTCGGGGTCAAGGGAAATACGAAGGCCCGCCTTTCAGAGGCCTCGCTTCGTCAGGGCTGGGGCCCACTGGCTTGGTCTGCCGCCTCGAGTTCTAAATTCCTTGGTGGTGCTGAGAAAGCGCTCTGGGCTGGGAGGTCCAAGTCCCAGCCCTGCCACCTCCCCCGGGCAACTCCACTGAACCCCCTTCCCCGCCCCTGCTCTTCACAGGCGGGTGAAGGGGGTAAGGGTAGCCCCGCCCTCCCACTCATTTCCTGGGCTCTTTGGAGGTTCAGATACGAGCATCTGAAAAACCTCTGTGTGCTCACTTTGTAAGCTGAAAGATGGCCAATAAGGCACCCATATTATTGTTTTCTCTCGCAAAGTGTATTCCGAACAATGGCCATCATTATGGCAACTGTTAACTGGGTATTTACTAGGTGCCCAGCTCTGGGCTAAGAGCTTGCTCACGTTCTAGCTGCACAGGGCACCCCACGAGCCCGTGCTTTTTCCATGTGCATTTCATAGAGGTCAAGGAAGTTGTCTCAGGTCACCCAGCTTGGAAGGTCCGAGTGACCAGAGGCAGCCTCTCGGGGGTGGGCCTCCCACTCCGGTGGCTTGTTATTTTCCAGTGACTTCCTTTGATTTATCTGTGCTGGTGGTTCTCAGCCCGGCTTCCTGGCATCTCAACCTCAGCTGCCTGGATGCCCAGCCCTTGTCGCCAGAAGGTCTGACTCGGGTGGGGTGGGTGAGGCCCGAGCACCCGTGTTGGCTCCCCGGGGATTCTGATGTGCGGCCCCAGGGAAAGCCGCTGTCCCAGGCACGTGTCCACGATGGTGCAGAGCAGGCTGGACGGGATGCCGGGCCTTCTGCCCGCCCTGGGCCTCAGCTCCCTGCCCTGCAGGAGGGGATGGGCCACTCCAGGGAGTCTTCTCCTAGGGCCCCGAAGGTTCTGTCACTTTAAGACGCTCCTGAGCAAATCTCTTACTGTTCTTTTCCTTCTTCTGTTTTAGGCAGAATATGAAGTTACTCCAGATGAAAAACTGGGAGAAAAAGGGAAGGAAATTATGACCAAGTACCTCACCCCTAAGGTAAGAGGCCGCCCACACCCCACAGCAGGAGGACTGGGGGGCCTGAGCCAGGAATATGGGCCCCCAGACCTGTGCTGGGCCATGTGGCTGCCATGGGTCTCCAGAGATCCAGGATCTTCGTCCTTCCCCAGAGAATGCCCATGCCTGGCAGGACCGACGGGTGCCCAGGCCAGGCCAGCAGGTGGTTTGAGGGTCCGTGTGGCAGGGAAGGGTTTGGAGGAGATGGGAGGGGAAGAGGGTGGCTGAGGCTGTGTTGGCAAAGGCAATGTCAGTTGAGCACATAACAGAATGCAGAGTATTATGAAGTAGGTTCCGGAGTGAACAGAGGGTGAGGGGCCCCCTGACCCCACCTCAGGAGCACCCCCTCGTGGCTGAAGGAAGAGAGGCAGTGCCACCCCCTGCCATTCCCCCCAGGGCCCTGGTGGCCTTGGTCCCTGGAACTTGTGTCTTCTTACCCCCAGTTTGACAGATGAATGTGTTCTCCATGCATGTCGGAGGAGCTGGCCTGGGGGCCGGGTTTTCATCCCAGCTCTGCCACCCACGCAGTCATGTTTCCTCTGGGCCTCAGACTCCCTTTCTGAAAAGTGGCCCTCCCCCCAGACCACCTCCCGGAGGCCCTGAGAGCCTGCGATGAGACCAGCACGCAGACAGCTTTGCGTGCATCCTGCACCCTGTGGGCAGCGGTAGCTACATCCCCCGTCCCCCCAGGACCCGGACTCTGTGGGCACCAGCCCCCCAGGAAGCATGCTCCTCATGTCCAGGCTGCTGGTGGAGTAAAGGCACCGTGGCCTGTGTGATGGGGTCCTGGCTGTCCATCCCTCACACAGTGTGGCAGGGGGGCCACACAGGACGGAGGTCAGGAAACAAGACCTTGATTGTCCTCTGCCCAGGCCTCAGTGTTCTTTGCTGTAAAATGGGTGAGGCTTGACCGTTCATCGCAAAGGGTCCCTGCCAACTGGACAGTCACGGACTGTGCCCTCTCCCAGCTCACACGGCGGGAGGGACAGGTTGTTCACAAGACAAGAGCCAAGCGAGAAGCAGAGGAGACACTTCTAGGCAGGGAGAGGTGTGTGTTGCGGACGATGCGTGGAGACTCCCAGGGTAGGACATCTGGCCCCTGAAGAAAGGCGGCCCCTGACCCACCTAAGAGTATTAATCAGTTGATCCTTAATGAGCTTGACTCAAAAGGCCCTCCCTGCCTGCCACCTGGGGTGCTAGCCCCGTCGCTGTCTGTGGGCGACGGCACTGAGGCTGGGGCAGCCTGAGCCGGGTGTACAGGTACCTGGTGGACTCTGCTCGGGAGATGGGGGCCAGGGGGTGGGAGGTGGACAGAATCCAGGCCAGCAGCTCCTCCAGCAGCAGCTGGGCTGCTGAAAGCCTGCAGCGCCTTGTGAAGGCGTCCACATGACTCGAGGGGTTTAATCCACAGTAGCCCCTTCACCCCGGGGCTTTAAGAATGACAGCTCACAGACTGGGCGCCTACCGGAGCCAGATGCCACCTCGATGTTCTCTGTGATGGAGTTCCGCCTCCAGAGAGAGATGAGAGACAGCCTGTGTGCAGGCTGCACGGCCGGGAGGGAGGAGCCTGCGGCAGGCGCAGCTACTGGAACAGCGCGGGCAGCTTCCACCGCCATGGCGGCTCAGCTTTGCCCGCCGTCGCCATCGCGCCCCTTCGGGGCTGCCCACCTGCCTGGGTTCCCTGCAGACAGTAGCAGCCTTCATGTATTGAGGACCCACTGTGTGCTGGCGCCGTCTCACTTAGTCTTTGCTGTCACCGTGTGATGTGCTTCTGTTGGCTCCGCCTTAAGGGGAGGGTGGGGAGGCTCTGGAGGGGCTGCCCCTGTCCCAGGTCACACATCTGGGGTTGAGCCCGGGTTGGGGTGACCCAGGAGTCCTGGGTCCCCTGTGGTGCACTGTTTCCCACGCCTGCCCCCTCGCTGCCGCGCTGCCCCGTCCCGCAGGTCTGCGGCCTGGCTGTTCTCAGCGAGGATGAAGGGGCTCTTTGCCCAGCCTCACCGACTCTTTCTGCCTATCCGAGGGCTGCTGTGGGCTACCCTCTCTCCCCACTTGGCCAGCCTCATCCACCAGTCTCTGTCAGTGGACCCCCAGTCTGGGCCCTCCAGGCTGCCTGCCCCTCTCAGGGCTGCCTCCACCTCCTGGCGGGCAGGCCCAGCCTCCTGTAGCTCAGACAGTTTTACAGGCCCTCAGAGCTGCCAACAGTTTTTTCTCACGTGCTCCTCCGTTTTTAACATTTAAACCACACCATATGTGATGGCCCCAGGGCCGGGGGCTGGTGGTCAAAGTGGCCCCATGGGCCGACTGTTTTCCGCCAATAAATTTTGCACTGCCTTCCCCGCCTTCCTGTGGCTGCTCTCTCAGGAGCCGACTTCCCTCTCGGTCCTGCAGACGCCTCAGGTGCTGGGGAGCGAGGGGCAGCTAGTGGCTGAGGCTACTGTCCCCAAGCCCAGCTTGTCCTTGCCTTGGGCCTCTCAAGATGCAGTGCAGGTGTCTCGGCTCCAGGGACCATTTTCCAAAGGGGGGACCATATCATGCTGACCAGGAAACACCTCTGTGACCTCGCCCACGTGTCAGCAATGCCGAGGCCAAGGAACCCTGGTGTCGAGCGGGGGCAGGTGTGGGAGGTCAGTTTTGCAGGAGTGGACGGTAGAGGGGCCGGGCCTTTGGGTGGCAGGGCCAGGAAAACCTTGTCGGGGACTTTGACATCCTCCCAAAGGCAGTGGGGGCCGCTGGGGCTCTGCATGCCATTGACAGTCTAGGGCAGTGGTCGGCAAACTGCGGCTCTTTGGCCCCTTGAGTGTGGCTCTTCCACAAAATACCACGTGCGGGCGTGCATGTATAGTGCGATTGAAACTTCGTGGCCTGTGGGCAGAAGTCGGTATTTTGTGGAAGAGCCACACTCAAGGGGCCAAAGAGCCACGTGTGGCTCGCGAGCCGCAGTTTGCCGACCACTGGTCAAGGGTGATCCCGCTGACCACACGGAGGAGAAAGGGGAGGGGAGACTGGAGGCAGGAGACCATCCAGGGACCTGCTATAGGGGCTGTGAGTTGACCCAATCCGGGAGCTGGTCCCTGAGTGGGTACAGGTGCCCAGGGAAGAGAGAGAGTAGGAGGAGGGTCATTAGCTCACAGGGCAGAGATGACAGCATCTGCTCTGAGTGTCCCCTGCCCAGCACAGCCCTAGACACAGTCTCATTCATTGCCAGTCGGTTTGATAGAGGCAGTGAGGGGGCCTGGGAAGCTTCCTCACGGGCCCTCACCTCTCCTACCTTAGGTCTCTTTCTGGGGAGCTGGCGCTTGGCTGGCTGTGTCCCCCAGTGTCTGGTTGTTTGCTGGAAACGTTCCTCTCAGAGTCAAAGCTTAAGCTCAGAGTTGAATTCTCAACCTCCATGCGATGATGCTCTTCAGACCCACAAAGTCCCCTCCTTGGATGCTGCCCGAGTCCTGCATCCAATGCCCACACCCTGGCAGCCTTGCTTGGGGGGGCGTTCGAGGATGCAGCCGGGTGGGGTTGGGGACAGGCTGGACGCTGTGGGAGAGCGAAGACAAAGGCAGCAGGCGCTGTGAGAAGGTGAATTTTAGCCCCTGGTACACCTGGGTTGGAAGCCAGATTTGGCTCCTTGGCACACGGCCTTGGGAACTAACCTGACTCAACCGCTCGATGACGCTGGATAGTGAGTGGTGGGCGACATCAGCACCAGCGAGGACAGAGCCAGGGGCTGGTACGTATCAGCCACTCGCTCTGACAGTCCCCTCCCTGGTCTGCACTTTCAGAATCAGGCTGCTGAGTGAGGAAATCATTCAGAGACGAATTCCAGCTGTGGGGTGTGAGAGGCCAAAGAGGGGTCCGGAGGGGCCCCCACCACGGAGGGCTGGCCAGAGAGGCCGCACTCGTTAAAAGGCAATGCAATGGTCAGGATGATGAATGCCCGCGGCCAGGACACACGGGCCCAGGCCTCAGGGCTTCCCGCCACGGAGATGACTTGCTTTCTCACGCACAGCCCGATTGTGTCTTCAGCTCTCCTGGGCCGCTTGTGTGGCTCCACCGTCTTAAAGATGTTGTCACATGGTAACCCCCAAAGCGGGAGAGAAGCATGACAGAGGCACATAAGCCTTAGCTGCCTTGGCCCAGAGCGACAGCCACTTCCTCTCCCAGTCCACTCTCCCGGCCAAGGGGGGTGCCGAGAAGGATGAAAACTATTGCTCTGTCTCTGCTAGCAGATGCTGCCTATCAGATAAAGGATCATGGGAGCCTTGGCCGGGTAGCTCAGTTGGTTAGAGCATCGTCCCGATACCCCAAGATTGTGGGTTCCATCCCCAGTCAGGGCACATATAAGACAACCAATGAATGCATAAATAAGTAGAATAGCAAATCTCTCTCAAATCAATAAATAAAAATTTTTAAAAAGAATCGTGGGTTTTATCTATTCGTATACATGTTGCTCAAGGTAGCCTGGGGGATTCTGGGAGGCACGTGGAGTATTGCTACCTCTCCGTGTTCTCATCCCCCTCCCCCCAGCTGAAAGCATTGTCTGTGTAGCAGGCCAGTCTCTGGGCTGGTGAGACACCCAGGAGCATGCACTTCTTTTTTTGTATTCACTATTTTTATTGATTTCGGAGAGGAAGGGAGAGGGAGCGAGAGAGAGACACATCAATGATGGGAGAGAATCATTGATGGGCTGCCTCCTACACACCCCATACTGGGGATCGAGCCCGCAACCCAGGCATGTACCCTGACCAGCAATCAAACCGTGACCTCCTGGTTCATAGGTCGACGCTCAACCACTTAGCCACGCCGGCCGGGCAGCATGACATGTCTCACAGCTATTCTCAGGCTTGTCAGCTCCGAGGAGCTGCCCAGGGACCCCCGAATGGAATCAGATACATGTGCTGGGCTCTGTAGAGATCTGGGCAGCTCACCTCCCAGGTGCCTGCAGATCGGAGTGATACAGGTGACAGGTGTTCAGCGGCAGGGATGCTCTG